CAGGCTACAACAACAGGCTACAACAACAGGCTACAACAACAGGCTACACCAACAGGCTACACCATCAGGCTACACCAACAGGCTACAACAACAGGCTACACCAACAGGCTACAACAACAGGCTACACCATCAGGCTACACCAACAGGCTACACCATCAGGCTACACCAACAGGCTACAACAACAGGCTACAACAACAGGCTACAACAACAGGCTACAACAACAGGCTACAACAACAGGCTACAACAACAGGCTACAACAACAGGCTACAACAACAGGATACAACAACAGGATACAACAACAGGCTACAACAACAGGCTACAACAACAGGCTACACCATCAGGCTACAACAACAGGCTACAACAACAGGCTACAACAACAGGCTACAACAACAGGCTACAACAACAGGCTACACCATCAGGCTACACCAACAGGCTACAACAACAGGCTACAACAACAGGCTACAACAACAGGCTACAACAACAGGCTACAACAACAGGCTACAACAACAGGCTACAACAACAGGCTACAACAACAGGATACAACAACAGGCTACAACAACAGGCTATATAGCAACAGGATACAACAACAGGCTACACCAACAGGCTACACCAACAGGCTACACCAACAGGCTACACCATCAGGCTGCATTCCATTTGTCAACTACTCTGACACTAAAAAAGTTCTTTCTAATATTTCTGTGGCTCATTTGGGCACTCAGTTTCCACCTGTGTCCCCTTGTGCGTGTGCCCCTTGTGTTAAATAGCCTGTCTTTATCTACGCTATCAATTCTCTTGAGAATCTTGAATGTGGTGATCATGTCCCTCCTAACTCTTCTGTCTTCTAGCGACATGAGGTTTAATTCCCGTAGTCAATCCTTGTAGCTCATACCCCTCAGTTCGGGTACTAGTCTGGTGGCAAACCTTTGAACCTTTTCCAGTTTAGTCTTATGCTTGACTAGATATGGACTCCATGCTGGGGCTGCATACTCCAGGATTGGCCTGACATATGTGGTATACAAAGTTCTGAATGATTCCTTGCCCAAGTTTCTGAATGCCGTTCTTATGTTGGCCAGCCTGGCATATGCTGCTGATGTTATCCGCTTGATATGTGCTGCAGGAGACAGGTCTGGCGTGATGTCAACCCCCAAATATCTCTCTCTCTCTCTCTCTCTCTCTCTCTCTCTCTCTCTCTCTCTCTCTCTCTCTCTCTCTCTCTCTCTCTCTCTCTCTCTCTCTCTCTCTCTCTCTCTCCCTCCCTCCCGTATCTCTTTCACTATCCCCCCTTCTCTCTTCCGATCTTCCTTTCCAACTTTCTCCCCCTCTCTACCACTACTACCACCCACTTTCAAAACCCTTCTAACCCACCTCAACCACTACCATCGACTCATAAACAAACTCACTACCAGCACCACCACCATCCAAGCCATCAAATTCCATACCCCCCTTTTCCACAACTATCACCATAAAACTCCAACCCCCTCTCACTACCACCACCATCACTCACTCGCACATTCATGACATACATCAACTCCCCCCCCCTCCCTTGCACCACTCTCACCCCCCCCCCCCCCCACCACCATCACACACCCACCTCCCCATTCTTCCCCAACCCAACACCCATTCTACCATTTCCCTGTTATAAGAAATGGCTCATTTATTAGGTTCTTATTAACATAATAGCTCTGCTTTTGGGAAGGCCATTACGTTGCCTAGAGACGTACATATATATTATTTATCTGTGTGAAGAGCGTCGACTGGCTGGGTAGTGATGATCTCTCTCTCTCTCGTGTGCTTGTTGAGCGTGTTGGGGGGTTCGAAACCCACTCGAGACAGTGACGAGGGGTTGGGCCTGTTTGTGGAGTCTTGGTGGGTATGTTTGTGGAGTCTTGGAGGGTGTGTTTGAGGAGTCATGGAGGGTATGTTTGTGGCGTCTTGGAGGGTGTGTTTGTGGAGTCTTGAAGGGTATGTTTGTGGCGTCTTGGAGGTATGTTTGTGGATTCTTGGAGGGTGTGTTTGTGGAGTCTTGGAGGGTATGTTTGTGGAGTCTTGGAGGGTATGTTTGTGGCATCTTGGAGGATATGTTTGTGGAGTCTTGGAGGGTATGTTTGTAGAGTCTTGGAGGGTATGTTTGTGGCGTCTTGGAGGGTATGTTTGTGGCGTCTTGGAGGGTATGTTTGGAGTCTTGGAGGGTATGTTTGTGGCATCATGGAGGGTATGTTTGTGGAGTCTTGGAGGGTATGTTTGTGGCATCATGGAGGGTTTGTTTGTGGAGTCTTGGAGGGTATGTTTGTGGCGTCTTGGAGGGTACGATTGTGGAGTCTTGAAGGGTATGTTTGTGGAGTCTTGGAGGGTATGTTTGTGGCGTCTTGGAGGGTATGATTGTGGAGTCTTGGAGGGTATGTTTGTGGAATCTTGAAGGGTATGTTTGTGGCGTCTTGGAGGGTATGTTTGTGGAGTCTTGGAGGGTATGTTTGGAGGCTTGGAGGGTATGTTTGGAGTCTTGGAGGGTATGTTTGGAGTCTTGGAGGGTATGTTTGGAGTCTTGTAGGGTATGTTTGGAGTCTTGGAGGGTATGTTTGGCGTCTTGGAGGGTATGTTTATGGAGTCTTGGAGGGTATGTTTGGCGTCTTGGAGGGTATGTGTGTGTGGAGTCTTGGAGGGTATGTTTGGAGTCTTGGAGGGTATGTTTGTGGAGTCTTGGAGGGTATGTTTGGAGTCTTGGAGGGTATGTTTGGAGTCTTGGAGGGTATGTTTGGCGTCTTGGAGGGTATGTTTATGGAGTCTTGGAGGGTATGTTTGTGGAGTCTTGGAGGGTATGTTTGGAGTCTTGGAGGGTATGTTTGGAGTCTTGGAGGGTATGTTTGGAGTCTTGGAGGGTATGTTTGGAGTCTTGGAGGGTATGTTTGTGGAGTCTTGGAGGGTATGTTTCTAGAGTCTTGGAGGGTATGTTTGGAGTCTTGGAGGGTATGTTTGGAGTCTTGGAGGGTATGTTTGGAGTCTTGGAGGGTATGTTTGTGGAGTCTTGGAGGGTATATTAGGAGTCTTGGAGGGTATGTTTGGAGTCTTGGAGGGTATGTTTGGAGTCTTGGAGGGTATGTTTGGAGTCTTGGAGGGTATGTTTGTGGAGTCTTGGAGGGTATGTTAGGAGTCTTGGAGGGTATGTTTGGAGTCTTGGAGGTTATGTTTGGAGTCTTGAAGGGTATGTTTGGAGTCTTGAAGGGTATGTTTGGAGTCTTGGAGGGTATGTTTGGAGTCTTGGAGGGTATGTTTGTAGTCTTGGAGGGTATGTTTGGAGTCTTGGAGGGTATGTTTGGAGTCTTGGAGGGTATGTTTGGAGTCTTGGAGGGTATGTTTGGCGTCTTGGAGGGTATGTTTGGAGTCTTGGAGAGTATGTTTGGAGTCTTGGAGGGTATGTTTGGAGTCTTGGAGGGTATGTTTGGAGTCTTGGAGGGTATGTTTGGAGTCTTGGAGGGTATGTTTGGAGTCTTGGAGGGTATGTTTGGAGTCTTGGAGGGTATGTTTGGAGTCTTGGAGGGTATGTTTGGAGTCTTGGAGGGTATGTTTGGCGTCTTGGAGGGTATGTTTGGAGTCTTGGAGAGTATGTTTGGAGTCTTGGAGGGTATGTTTGGAGTCTTGGAGGGTATGTTTGGAATCTTGGAGGGTATGTTTGGCGTCTAGGAGGGTATGTTTGGAGTCTTGGAGGGTATGTTTGGCGTCTTGGAGGGTATGTTTGGAGTCTTGGAGGGTATGTTTGGAGTCTTGGAGGGTATGTTTGGAGTCTTGAAGCGTATGTTTAGAGTCTTGGAGGGTATGTTTGTGGCGTCTTGGAGGGTATGTTTGTGGAGTCTTGGAGGGTATGTTTGGCATCTTGGAGGGTATGTTTGGAGTCTTGGAGGGTATGTTTGGAGTCTTGGAGGGTATGTTTGGAGTCTTGGAGGGTATGTTTGGAGTCTTGGAGGGTATGTACATCACAGTACATTAAAGGCTGGTGTCTTCCACACTACTGCCCAGTTACCCAAACGTATAACAGCAGAAAACAGTAGAACATGTGATGTTTATTTTATCTCTCAAAGGACACAGTAAGTCACAATAACGAGGCTGAAAGGTACACTCGGACCTTACCCTGAAAATATAATTAGAGGCGACGTTTCGGTCCGTCTTGGACCATTAATAGGTCGTGCGTTGTCAAGTTTCATCTTCAGATGCGTAGGTGTCTGGCACTTCAGATACTTTTCCCCGCATGAAAACAAACTCGTACATGCATGCGTACGCCCTTGTGTGCGTGTTGGGTGCGTGTGTGCGTGTGTGCGTGTGTTGGGTCCACCTGGTCCACCTCCACCTGGTCCACGTCCTGGAGCGAGAAAGAGAGCGAGATAAAGAGAGAGAGAGAGCGAACGCAAGAGAGAACTACCGCGAGAGCGCGAGCGAGAGCGCGTATGGGGGTGATAGAGATGGCGCAGTAAAACTAAGTAGAGGTGCGGGTTTAGCGCGGAGGCTGAGAGCCCAATGGTTCTGTAACAACCCCGGGATTGGCTTTATAGCCCCATTATCATGCTTTTATTGCATAATGTATATGTGATATCCCGCCTCCCCTCCCCTTCCCCCTCCCCCCCTGCTGATACCCCCACCCCACCCATCTCAACTGCCCCCTCCCCCTCTTGTGTCTCACCTCTCATGCTCCTCTTGTGTCTCCTTTCTCATGCTTCTCTTGTCCCTTACCTGTTCCTTCATATTATTTATCTTTCCATAATTCTACTACACTTTCCAGCATTCCCCCTCCTCTCTCCCCCTCCCAGCATCCCTCCCTCTCTCCCCCTCCCAGCATCTCCCCCTCTCCCCCCCCCAACATCTCCCCCTCTCCCCCCCCCAACATCTCCCCCTCTCCCCCTTTTCTCCAGCATGCGTTTACACAGAATTAATCTTATATCATTTTCTCTTTCCAGGTAAATGTGTCCAGGTGTTAATACTTGAGGTCTTCCTGTGTCACCTTGAACCGTATG